TGAGGGAAGAGAAAAGTCAAGTACCTACCCGATTCGCAACACTGCCACTCATACTGGCAATCATCACAATGCTCCCCCCGTTCCCAAATCGAATCATCTGTCTGGCAGCTGCCTGCGCCGTCTGAAGGACACGGGGAAGTCAGTAAGTGTCTTTCTGAAAGGGGTTCGGGAGAAGGAGAACGAGAAGGAGAAGGAGAAGGAGAAGGACCAGGAGAAGAAGGTCTCCCCTTCCACCCACCTACCATGAAGCAGCCCGTGACATTCACACTCATCATCGCATCGCAGTCTTTGGCGGTGTACTCCAAAGCAGACGTTTCGTGCTGGATGCCGGCGGCGGCTATGAGGCCGTCGAGGCGCCCGTGCCCGGTGGCTATCTCTTCCACAACCGCATTCAGCTCTGCCACATCCCGGACGTCGATACGGCGGTAAGCGAGCGTGGTACCCAGCTCGTCCGCGGCGCGCTTCTGGATCCGCAGAAAGTCCGGGGAGGGACTCTCAAGGCGGTCGAGTGCGTAGACTATCATGTCAACATCAATCAATCCGTGCTACGAAGGATGTTTTTCCTTCTACCTCTTCACAGGAAAAAAAAAACTTTATTTTTTCTTCTTTTTTCCTTCTTTTTTTATTTCTCTTCACAAAAGGAGAACGTGGCAGGCATACCGATGGCTCCCGCTTCGAGCAGAGCCTCCGCTTGCACCAGCCCCAGCCCCCGCGCAGCACCGGATACCAGCACAACCTTGTCTACCAGGTTGAACTCTGGCAGCCGCTTCGTCGTGCCTATGTATGTAGGCGGGTTCCCCACCCGGAGAGCAGCGGCGTCGGCATCGAGTGCTTCCGGCGGGCCTCGGTTGGCCGCCGAGGCACTGCTCCGACTCCGACTCCGAATCAGAGGACGAGGACGAGGTGCGGTTGAGAGAGCCGCTCGCGCGGTAGCGAGGGGAGAGGGCTTCTGCTCGGGTCTGAGAATGCGACGTGCTGTTGTTGTTGTTGTTGTTGCCGCGTCGCCTACGCGGGGCAGTAGTAGTATTCGCCGGGAAGACCTCATCTTCTTTTGCTTGATCCTGATCTTGACGGGGATGGGGATAGGACGGATGAACCGCAAAGGCAGGATCGATCTCCGCGTGCGTGCGTGCGTGCGTGCTCTTAGATACGATATGAAAACAATCTCGCGGGATATCAGATGGAGGAGGGTATCGGATGTGGGAGGTGTTCGGTGGAGGGGTATATATACATATATATATATATATATATATAGGTACTACTCTACATACGTACGTACGTATCTGCCGAGCATGGTAGGTAGGTATCTGCAAGCCCTTCTTCCGGCTTGCTCTTTTCAGCCAAGGGCTGCAGCAGCGACGGCCTATCTGCTCCCGAAGTTCAGATGTGTTCTGTTCTATTCTGTTCTGTGCTGGATACAGAGCTTGTTCTTTTCTCGAAAGATAGGCGGGTTGGTCGTGCTTGCAGCTGCTGCTGCTCCAAAGCGGATTGTATTACTCGAGTATCGAGAGCTCTTCTATATATAAGGTACAGAGGAGGTAGGTAGGTGTTGCTTGCATGCATCTTGGTTCTTCAGCTTTGATGGCTGTGCGGGGTAGACGTTAGAGATCGTCGGTTGCGTCTCTTTTTCCTTTCTTTTCTTCCTTTCCCTTCCTTTCCTTTCCTTTTCCTTCCTTCTTCCTTCCTTTCCTTTCCTTTCCTTTCCTTTCCCTTCTTCAAAGCTCCCATTGTCCATCTATAGATAGGATAGGATGGGATGGGATGGGATGGGATAGGATGGGATAGGATAGCCTTGTTTACCAGCTTGCGTCTCTCTCTTTCCCTTCCTTACAAGCGTGATCGGACCGTCTCGCGCGGAAGAAGAGGTACGATAAGTCAGATATCCTCCTCCTCCTGGTCTAGTCTAGTACCTCGCTTATCGAGAGCTCCTGGCGCAAAGAAAAGAGGCGCAAAGAAAAGAGGCGCAAAGAAAAGAGGCGCAAAGAAAAGAAAAGAAAAGAAAAGAAAAGAAAAGAAAAGAAAAGAAAAGCAAGGCAAAGAAAAGAAAAGCAAGGCAAAGCAAAGAGGATGAAAGGCTGCCCCGCCGCTTGCGTACGTACCCGTCCAGCACAGCTCGTACAGTAGTAGCAGGAGAGCGGATTGCCCGATTGGGAGTTTCCGGGCGGCGGAGTGTGTTCCGATCGATCAACACACCCGAGACCAGAGCGAGCACGAGCCGTGCACAACGACGGTTATCGTACCGTACCTACGTCTACGAAGTATCGCCCTCTCCAGCTCTTCATCGACTCACTGCCAGCTCTCGCGCGGATTCAGAGCTAGTGACGAGAACAGATAGGTGCCAACATCCATCACTAGGGCATCGACGGTGCGCAGGTGTCCAGAGCTGACGACAGGCCGTGAAATACCCTTTGGCATTTGGATAGGGAGGGAGACGAGTTAGAGTCGGGAGAAGAGAGCCTTTTTCGTTCTGCCGATTGAATGCAGGAAGCAGTTGGGATTGGAGATCGTCTCGCCGGACAGAGGCACGGCAACCTTGCGTTGTACCTCAAACTACGTAGTACTACGTAGCACGGTATAGGCGTAGGTAACTGTTACCCCTTGAGGGTGCCTCAAAGGTTTAGTTTCTGCTATGAACCCCCTGGTTGCCCTAGCCTCAGGGGCTAATACTTACGCCTGGGACGTAATACCACGGTACAGGCCTAAGTACTACGTACTTACGCCTGCGACGTAGTAGCTCCAGTCGTAACTTTTGCGCATCTTTAACAATGACAATGGAAAACAAAAGTATATGCTTAAAACACAAAGCGAGTCGCAGTCGACTCTCATACAAGTGCTAAACCAAAGCACAGGCTGAGAAGCGCGCCCGGCCTACCCATGCATTACTCGGACACCAGGGGCTCTGGCCAGTGCTAACTAAGCCACGGATCTACGACGCGCAACCTAGTACTTACAGTACTTACAGTAGGGTGAGGCCTTGACTGAGCAGGGAGCCGCATTAATCACGAACTCTTTGGCCGGGCCTGGTTACTGGGTTCCGAACTGAATCTTTCCCACCGAGAGGACGAACCACTTACCACAATCAACACGTCCATCTCGGTTAGCATTCGGGGACATTTCCAATTACACTTGCAATCGTATACCCAACAACACGTTGTGCTGGCCTTGCTACACCACACCGCTCGATTCCAAACGGCGGTGAAACCAGCTCGGTCAGACGATGCGGATGGTGTTGGTCAAAAGCTGAAAGGCAGCACCAGAGGAAGGAAGAAGGGAGGAGGAAGAAGGGAGGAGGAAGAAGGAAGAAGGAAGAAGGAAGAAGGCACAATGGCAACGACTGACCAACATCGTAATCGACATCTTCGTCAACATCAATATCGACAACCTCACCGTCGCCAGTCCTCCAGCCCTCTCCCGCAGGCACGCCTCTCCCACCCTCTCCCTCCGCTTCCTCTCCTTATGAACGACCTACGCCCGCAACTATCCATCACCACGCACCTCCCACCCGACAATGCCTACGCGATCAAGCGGTCCACTCGCAACTCTCCGTCTTCCTCCTCCTCCTCCCCCTCCTCCTTAGGTTCAACGCCCACGTCGTTCTCGCCGCCAGACCTGCTATCAGACCACGACCCGCCCAAGTACGAGCCCATGTTCGACTACCTGCGTTCGCGGCCCCAGCCGCCCTTCCCCCCCTCCCCCAGCTTTCCGCGACAATCGCCACCCCACCGGCCACATCGACCCTGCCCGGGGCCCGTACCCACAAGTGCCGTCGCGATACCGTACCGCGACAACCCCGACGGGCCGTTCGTGGTGACCATCGCCACCGACACGGATGGAGATGTGGATGCGGATGCAGGCCAGCCCCCACCGCCGTCTTACGAGGATCTGTACTGGCAGCAGGAGGCGGATGCGCGCAGCCTGATGCGCCAGTTCGACATGGATTCGAGTCCGGCCGAGCAGACGGAGGAGCTGGTCAAGTGGGTGGTGGCCATGCTGCTGATCTGCTTGACCGTTGCCGCGGTGGGTACAGCATTTAACTGGGGCCGGGATTGAACGAGGAGGGGAGAGGAGAGGGCCGTGTTGAACTTGATACCCTGGGTTTGGAGTTTGGCGTCTCGAGTTGGGCAACGGGAGGTTGTTGTTGGGGGAGGAGGCTGGGAATGGTGTACCGGTACAGGAAAGGGAGGAGACGGAATCAGATGAATGGAATGCATCGCTAATGGAATTCGCCGGCTCGTAATTTAATTTTTATCACGTGCTGCTCTCTTCGGTTTCATGAGACAGAAACGTCCCTTGCACGGAGCCCTGCTGTGTAGTGTAGGTAGGTATGCTCGCACCTTTTTATGATAGCTTTGCATCTTTGGGCATAAGGAAGTGTGTTGTTGCCGATACTCTGGCTCCAGATCTCTTATGGATCCGTTAATAACGTAACCTACTTATTACGTATGACTTGTGAAAGCGAGAAAGAAAAGGGGGGGAAAGAAGAAAAAAGAGAGAAAAAATAAAACGAAAAAAAAAGAAAGAAAGGGAAGAACGAGAAGAAAAAGAACAAAGGAAGAAAAAAAGGAAGAAAAAAAAAGAAGAAAATAAGAAAGAAAATAGAAAAAAAAAAAAAAAAAAATTAGAAAGTAAAAATAAAAAAAAAATATATATATATATAAGAAAGAAGAAAAAACGAAAAAAACAAGAAAAAACGAAACCAATAAAAAATATATATATATAAGAAAGAAGAAAAAAAAAAGAAAAAAAAGAAAAAAAAAGAAAGAAAAGAAAGAAAAGAGAGAAAAGAAAGAAAT